ATTATTTTATTCTTTTTATGGCTGAGTAATATTCCATTGTATATATATACCACAGATTCTTTATCCTGTCCTCTGTTGATGGACACTTAGGTTGTTTCCATGTCTTGGCTATTGTAAGTAGTGCTGCTATTAGCATTGGGGTGCATGTATCTTTTTGAATTAGAGTTCAGGAGGGGCTCCTTCTTGTGTGAGACAGGAGAGAGCTCTCTGGATGACATTTAGCAGTTCAGACTCCTAGTTTCCCTTCTCATCCCACCCGACTCCCTGTACCCAGACCCTTGCCCTGAGGCTGGGCTGTGGCACTGGACACACATTTCCCTTCTTGGTCTCACAGGAGGGAACAGCCAAGGCCCAGAGAAAAAACAAACATGGGAAGGAGAGAAAGGTTGAAGATTTCCTAAAAGCTTTAGTCCAAGCTACTTCTGGGCATATGAATGCTATGGTATGGTATATACTTATGACAGTAGAATTTTGTGTGGACAAAGGGTTAATACATGTAAAGCCCTTTGAACAGAGCTTACTGTCGGCCAGCAGTGCTCTGAGTGTCTCCCATACGTTAACTTTTCATCCACATGATGGTCCTTGAGATAGGAGCAATGGTCATTCCCTTTTTATGAAGGAAAAAGCTGAACTACCTGGCTAGAAATTTGTCGAGTTGGGATTTCAACCCAGGCATTGAAATTCCAAAGTCCATGCTCTGAACCACCACACTTTCTTGCCTCTATAGGACCAAATCCATGCACAATATTTGATATGCTACAGCAGGACATGACGTAAAATAAAAAGAACCTCCTGGCTGCTCTCTAGATGATCCCGAGGGGTGTTCTCTGGGTGTTCTTTTGCTTTGGGAAGTTTATCAACCCTCGTCTGTCACTGCAGGCTACACCCCCACCAGCAAGCCTCACTTCTGGGTGACCTCTGATTAGGGCCAGTGACTACCCAAGCGCTCTGACTCCTCCATTCAGGGAGCCATCCATGGGCCCAGGGGTGCCTCAGGCAGCCCCTCGTGCTTGGGGTTCCCTCCTATAGCCACCTTGTTCTGCTCACCCCCCACCCCTATCCTCTCACTGGCTGCTTGGGGGCTGGAGCAGGGTGTGGAGAGACCCCGTCTGGGCAAAAGGAAATCCCAGGGTCCAGACAATGGCTGCAGATATGCTCCAGGCCAGCCTCACCATTCTGCCAAGTCCCTGGCGTGAAATGTGGTGTGTACAAACCACACCACTGCAGACAGAGAGGCTGGGAGAGACCTCAGAGACCACCCCGGCATTTTCAGATGGGCCCCCACTGCCACGGCTGGAGAGTACATTTCTGCCAGATGTGGAAATGGAGCTGAGCACCCTTGCTTTCTGGTGTTCGGTCAACCTAGTACAGCGCTGCCCTGGGTGGGAGCATCACTGTTGGACAACCCCTTCCCGGGAGGAGAGGCCTTACCTGCGAAACCACCCCACGTGTGGGCAGGCCGGGGACTAGCTGCCTTTTCCTAGAGAAAATGTGCTCTTTTTGTAGAACCTTGTCAGTGATATTAACAGATTCTCTACGAGAAATTATAGTAAATGCAAACCTCTTTAAAACCAGCCCAAAGAAACATAAACCCAGGCCTGTAGCTGAGGCCCCCTCTCTACTACTTCATATATGCATTTTAATTAACCCCCTGAAGTATTCCAAGCTGTATTTTGAAAGTACGGCCCCTCTGACTCCAGCAGATGAAGGGCCAGGTTTAACACTCTGGCCGGACATGCTCTGCCCCCGGGCGGAGGCCACCTGTCCACAGCGGGCCCTGACGATTACCATTTCTTTTCTTTGCCACAACTGGCCAGGTTCTGCTGCAAAACTGGTCTGCTACTTCACTAACTGGGCCCAGTACAGAGAAGGGGCCGCTCGCTTCTTGCCCAAAGATGTGGACCCCAATCTGTGCACGCACCTCATCTATGCTTTTGCTGGCATGAACGGCCATCAGCTCAGCTCCACAGAGTGGGACGACGAGACGCTCTACAAGGAATTCAATGGGCTGAAGAAGATGTGAGCAAGGGAGGCGGGTGGGGATGGGAGCTGGAGAACCTTCCCCGGCACCACAGTCCGGCTGCAGACCCGCTGTGTGGCTTTGGGCAAGTCTCGTCACCTCTCTGGGCTTCCCTGTGCTTATGTGGAAGAGGTGAGGGCAGACAGAGACTCCTTAAGGGCCCTTCCAGTTCAGGTCTAAGTGGAATCCGGATTGTGACACTGTTTCCCTCTGCTGGGAATCAATGTCCTTTCTCCTAAAATCTATCTGTCCTTCAGCTCATATTATCACTGCCTTAATAAAGCCTCTCCTAGGTTCTACCCTGATCTCTCGCTTCCCAAATTCCTTAATTATACATCTCCACAGCCAGATAAGAGGTCCTCAAAGGCAGGAACATGTCTTTTTTTTTTTAAAGTAAGTATGTGTTTAACATTGAGCTGGGATGGCCTTTCGAAGCATGAGGTCAGCAGAAAACATTTTTTTCAAAACATAAATCCAAGAATTTTAAATGCCAGTATTATGATAAATTTCCTTTCTTAGTCAGCTCTCCCATTTCCTTAGAGTTTCTGACTGTCTTTCTTTTCCTCTCTAGTGTCTTCATTTATCTTCATTTTAAAAAAATTATTTCATTACATGAGATCAGCAGTCAAGCTGTCTCTTTCCCAGAACGTTCCAGATGGAACAGGCGTCCCAGCATGAGCGTAATTAATTACAGGACAGCTTTTAATCCTCGCCCATGCAGCATCCCTAATTTTCAGTGTCCCACATCTTCCCCCTTGATTTAGGATCATGACTTTTCCTTCCTATCCTAGAGCCTTCCCGGCACAGGGCTTTATGTGCCCTCCACCTGGCCCGTCAGCCCTGCCGGGCTCCTTCCGTCCCCGTTAGTGAGGTGAGCCTGGGAGCCGGCTGGGTACGTTTCAGCGCTTCCCTTGTCTTTCCCAGCAATGCGGAGCTGAAGACGCTGCTGGCCACTGGGGGCTGGAACTTCGGCACGCAGAAGTGAGTTGACTGTGGGCACCCGTGGGGCCACGCCACTGGTGGAGAACAGGCTCACTGGCCAGAGAGACCCCTGGTCAGGGAATCAGCCAGGCGGACGTGTGGCCAGGGGGTGGGGGGACGGGAGGGAAGAGTGGACTCGGGGGGTTGACCTTTCTTCTGGGTTCTTGGTGCCTCATCGGGAGGCAGCGGAGTGGGCTTAGCTCCAGGCTGTTACTCATCCAGTCTTGTTTTAAATGCAGCACAGAGATGCTGACCTCTTTTCAGGCCTCAGTCTCTTCCTTCATGAAATGGGTAGATGGAAGATCTCAACTAATCCTGGGCCACGTAAAAAGTCCATATTTTCTGAGCTCTGAAACAGAGTATCTTCTCTGAGCACTTCTGTTCCCCTTCTGGATGTCAAGGGCAACCTGTGAGATTGAACTTGGCTGCCAGAATTTCCAGGACATTTTTGATGATTTGTGGAGACAGTAAAATGGTATATTTTGGAACCAGACTTTTCCTAGAAAGCCCTGACTATATGGTCCCCAAAGTTAACCTAGTCATTCTAATATTTTTCTAGACCAGAGCCCTTTTGAGAACCTGATGAAATGCATGCATCACCTTCCCAAAACGCTACTTACACGCAGATTTTTCCATTGAAATGCAGGGGTTCTTAGTCTGGGGTTCCCAGGCACGTGAACCCCACTTAAGAACTGCTGTTATTAACTAAATTAAATTAAAAAAATAAGGTCAAATAGGAGGAGTCTAGTAAAAAAAAAACTCAAGACCCCTAAATATGTCCAGGGACTTCTTACAGAAACAATGAGAACGTAAGATGTGGGGCGGTGGCTCCTGGGGCACCTCAGGGATTCTGATGAGCTCTGGACCATTAATAGTGCTTTTTTCAACCTCCATGGGGGTTGACAGCCAGCTCTGAGTCAGGGCAGGACACACCCCTGGGCAGGCACATGGCGGCTGGCTTCTGGAGGGCATTCGGGGAGCGGAGCTCCAGCGAGTCCATGTGCCCCCAGTGATGTCAACGTGTGGGCGGAAGGACGCACGTCTAGATGACCCCTTGCCCCCAGCCAGGCCCATAAGTCACCAGCAAATGTCCCGGAAGCCTCTGCAGCAGCCCTCCCAGTGCCCTCCTGGCCTAAACGGCTGAGCGCCGACCTCCTGAGCTGTTTCTCACTTGCCTGTGAGGGACAGTGACCCGCTGTCCAGTGTAAGACAGGCTCATACCGCCCTGCCACCCCGCAGGTTCACGGATATGGTGGCTACAGCCAACAACCGACAGACTTTTGTCAACTCGACCATCAAGTTTCTTCGCAAATATGGCTTCGATGGCCTTGACCTTGACTGGGAGTACCCAGGGAGCCGGGGGAGCCCTCCCTCGGATAAGCAGCGCTTCACAGCCCTGGTGCAGGTATGGCTGCGTGGGGCAGGGGTCACCTCTTTAGCCAGGGGGCCACACAGAGTGCAGACCAGCCCTGGGGTCAGTTTTCAGACTCCTGAGCTAAAACAGCGATCTGCTTGGGGCTCACAGGGCTGCCTGGCCCCTGTCTGTGTGTTCACTCTGAGCTGCCCCTGCAGGACCTGGCCAGCGCCTTCCGGCAGGAAGCCCAGACAGCAGGGAAGGCACGCCTCCTGCTGAGCGCAGCCGTCCCAGCCGGGCGGCGCTGCATGGAAGCTGGATACGAGGTGGACAAAATTGCTCAGTGAGTGTCAAGCAGGTGGCATGGACCCTGTGTTCCCTGTAGGGGAGAGAGACCGGGGACAGTCTGCGCATCCCCAGGGAGGGAGCAGGGCTCACCTGCACGGCCAGCAGACCCAGGAAGGGTGCACCCACTGCGTCTGCTTGTCCACCACTCCAGGGTCCCTCTCTTTGGAGCCTCGCCCTTTCCCTTAAGAGCTCAGTCTTAACATGAAATACCCTTGAGATGGGGAATGGTGAAGCGTTTGGCATCCCCAAGAGGGTGAGCTGTTTAGATCCTTCCCAGCCAATGGCTGCGGAATCAGAACCTGCACCTTAATGGGATTCCCAGGTCACTGATGTGCACAACTGAAGTGGGAGAAACACTGAGTGACACTTCCCTTCCAAATAGCAAAATAGCATGAGGTGTCCCACGTGGACTGCGTCCTGAGGGTGTTGAGGGGACAGCCGGGGGGAGGCCACTAAAGACACGAGAATGGCCTGGATAACAGGGGGGACTGGGGAGTGCTGTGTACGTCACCTTTCCCAGAGCCGGCAGTGGGCCTGCCCTCTGCCCCCCGCCCCCTGCTTCCCATGAGGGTCTCTCCCTGGGCCACACACTGGGCGGGGGGACTCCTCACCCCCACTTCCCTTGCCTCCTGCAGGAACCTGGATTTCATCAGCCTTATGGCTTACGACTTCCATGGCTCTTGGGAGAAGACCACAGGCCATAACAGCCCCCTCTACCAGAGGCAGGGAGAGAGTGACGCCGCGGCCGAGCTGAACGTGGTGAGAGCAGAAGGCTTGCGGCTCGACCTCCCTTGCTTAAGGGGCGCGGCCCTTCTGAGCGTCTAGGAACCTATGGGAAAGGAAAGCAGGGTACCGAGCAGGGCCCGGGGAGGCAGGAGTTTTTGTTTCTTTCCTGTTTGTTTGTTTGTTTGTTTTTTATTTTCCTGTCCCGTGCCACTGCAGAGTACAAACCTCTCTTCTGTGTAGCATCTTGGCTGGTGTTAGACACAGCAAGCCAATCCCACGACGTCAGTGACTCATTGGGAGGCCGTCTTTGAGCTGGACTTTCCAGCCAAAATGTCTCCTGCTCCCTTCATACCCCCATCCCATTTCCTTCAAGACAATGGATAACTTCTTTTTTTTTAACATTTTATTATGGTATAATTCCTGTACAGTAAACTTCACATATTTCAGATGTATAATTTAATGAATTTTGATAGATGTGTACACCCATGAAACCACCACCACAATCAAGACAGCTAACATTTCCATCACTCCCTAAGAGGTGCAACCTTCAAATTCCCAATTTATCCCCTCCCACCCCCTTTACCCACTGGTAACCATAAGTTTGTTCTCGATGTCCGTGATTCTGTTTCTGTTTTGTAGGTAAGTCCATTTGTGTCCCCTTTTTTTGGATTCCACATATAAGTGATATCATATGGTATTTTTCTTTCTCTTTCTGGTTTACTTCACTTAGAGTGACAATCTCCAGGTCCATCCATGTTGCTGCAAATGGCATTATTTTTATTCTTTTTTATGGCCGAGTAGTATTCCATTATATATATAAACCACAACTTCCTTATCCAGTCACCTTTCAATGGACATTTGTGTTGTTTCCATGTTTTGGCTATTGTAAATAGTGATGCTATGAACATTGGGGTGCATGTGTCTTTTTGAATTAGAGTTTTCTCCAGATATATGCCCAGGAGTGGGATTGCTAGATCATACAGTAAGTTTATTTTTAGTTTTTAGAACCTCCATACTGTCTTCCACAGCGGTTGCACCAATTTACATTCCCACCAACAGTGTAGGAGGGTTTCCTCTGTCTGATGATGGGTAACTTTTGCTCCTGGTCCCTGATTGACCTTCTGGAAGGTGCTTTCAGAGGTGAGAGCTTTCCCAGGTTAATACCATCTCAGGGGCTGTCAATCAGGGCAGAACCACCCCTATCCCACCTCAGTCCCTGGAAAGGGCGGGTTTGGTTTTAGACGGAGGTGGGTGGGGATTTCCTGCCCAACTCTCCCTCATTGAGCAGGCTAGACACTTTTTTATAAGCCCATTCTATATTTCAAATTCAAGACTGACCATGTCACTTCTCCTTCTTAATATAAACAACAACAAAAAGGCCTAAATTAGGACGTTTGCTAGTTCTGGGGAGCCCACATCTGTGTGCGTGCACTGGGTGGAGCATCCTGGACCTCTGTGACTCTTTCACAAATAAAGCCTACTTCTTAGAGCACTGGAGCCAAGCACCCGTATCTCTCACTGAGCCCAACTCCTCCACCCACATCTGGAAAGCCTTGTGGGTCCCAGGAGGAGCCAGCCCGCTCAAGTGGGGAGGCACACAAGGACATTCAGTGCGAAGCGAGGGGGCTGAAGTCCCCCCAGCACGGTGCTGTCCGAGCCGCATGCCCTGGGTCCATGCGGGGAGAGGGAGGCCTTTCTCCCCCTGCAAAGAAGCCTTCTGCTCCCCAAGTTGTGTGCCCTGCCGGCTGGCTTCCGGACGGAGCAGAGACTTTCCCAAATCTGCACAAAAATTCCGCAGAGCTTAGCAGAGTGCTCTGACCTCTGTCCTCAGAAAGCTCCAGTTTGATAAAGGTAAATCACGTAGACCAGCAAAAAGAAATGCACATAATAGAGTGAAAATTGCTCCTTACCCTGGTGCTAAAAGGTTGCAGAGTGACTGAAAAACCTGGACTCAAGCGGGGCAGCTTCTTGGGAACAGTGAGCCCGTGATCTTGGCTGGAGGGAGGAATGTGCATTATTTGTTTATTCCACATAGTTGTACTGGGTACCTCCTCACATCACAAGCCTGGGGCATCTGTCAAGTAGTGTGTGATGGGGGAAGGCCTCGTGCAGAGAACGTGAGGAAGCCCTGTGCACATCTGTTCTCTCTATTTGAGCATCCAAGTGGCAGGCGTTGTTCTAGGCTCCAGGGACCCAGGAATAAATAAAACAGACCCCACTCCCTGCTCTCATGCTGAGGATGCCGCAGCAGGGAGGTAGTGGTGATGATCCTGGCTCCCCTCCGCTGCGCCGTGCGGGGCCTTATCTGTGTGTTGTACCTTTTAATTCTCACAGCGCCCTTAGAGACAGATATTTTTATTGTTTCCATTTTATAGACAGGAAGCTCAAGGTTAAAGTTGCTGAGTGAGGCCGGGATCTGTGCTCACTGAGACACCCCAAGCATCTGGGACAGTGCCCAGCACACAGCGGGCCAGCAGTAAAAATTCACTCGGTGAATTGCTGCCTGACCCCAGAGCTCAAGCTCGTGGCTGTAGGGCCATGCAGCTTCTCTCACTGGGGTTGAGGGTCTAAGACGGGATCTAAAGAAGATGGGGCAAGGTTTGAGCACTAGTAAGTGTCTGTGAAACTCCTCTGAAGCCCCTAGGCTTGGACGATCAGAACCAGGCTGAAGGCACAGACAGTTAGCCCTGACCCTCCTCCTCTGCTTCTCCAGGACTCTGCTGTGCAACGGTGGCTGCGGAAGGGGACCCCCGCCGACAAACTGATCCTTGGCATGCCCACCTATGGACGATCCTTCACTCTGGCTTCCTCCCTGGACACTGGAGTGGGGGCCCTAGCCACAGGGCCTGGAACTCCTGGTCCCTTCACCAAAGAGCGGGGACTGCTGGCTTATTATGAGGTAGGAAAACCCAGTCACCCCAAGTGCTGTGGGGAAGAGGGCTCCCTCTCCCACAGTTTCTGAGCGAGGATGCCGGGCGTCGCGCATTCCGGCCAGCTGAGCCCCAGCCTGTGCCTGTCGCCTTGGATTTAGCCTGAAGCCCAGGTGCCTCATTGAATCCGTGGCTCCTGGGCTCCCCGGGCCCCTCAGACAGGCGTCTCCAGTCTCCTCCTGGCAGGGAGAAGATACTTGTTGGTGCCTCCCGCCTCCTCCTCAGCTCTGCCCTCCGTCCTACAGATCTGTTCCTGGAAGGGGGCTGCTGAGCGCAGAACTGAGGACCAGAAGGTGCCCTATGCCTTCCAGGGCAACCAGTGGGTGGGTTTTGATGACGTGGAGAGCTTCAAAGCCAAGGTGAGGCTCAGCGTGGCTGGGAGGGGTTGGTCCTGGGTGGGCCCAAGGCCTGTCAATAGCATTCAGTGACAGCGTCCAGAACCTCTCTGAGCATCTCACAGAGCTCCATGGGACAGCATGTTGTACCCCTGTCACCTATTGACTGAGAAAAGACACAATGACAAAAAATTGCTCTACATTGAGTAGCACTCTTGAAAGTATTTGTATTTTATTAAATATAAATACAAAATTTGTATTTTATTAAATACAAATTCTCCAGACATATGAAGAGGAGAAATACATACAGGGAGATGTATCACTTTAGTCAGCCCATTGACAATATTTGGCGCATGTTCAAATTAGAGAACTTTTGATTTACTTATGTGCCCCCCGCCGCCAGCTCCTGCCCGATGCTGGCGGCTCACAACTTGAGTTTCCATCCCTCTCTCCCCCGCGAGGCCGTTGGCATCTGCGGAGGGACCTGCATTTGCCCATCTGCTTGTCTCATGTGGGTTATCACGCGAGCAGACAGAGGCAGGTTCTTCTGAAGGGGTAGACAGAGCGTTCTGGAGGATTGAGGAGGGAGCGTGGTCCTGGCTGGGGGAGATGAGAGAACAGATCATGGTGGAAGGGGTTTTGAGAAAGTCTTAAAGCAGAGAAGGTGGGCATTCTTGGGTGGAAACTGCAGGAGCAAAGACGTGATGGAGAAGAAAGGGGAGGGCAGCCTCTGAGAACAAGATGCTGGCCCACACGGCTGGAGCCCTGAATGGGGACTGATGTAGGAAGGGAGATAGCTAGGAGGGAGATTGGGGCCAGCAAGGGTTCCAGACCACCCCTGCCCTCCAACCTAGCCTCACTGTAGAGGTGAGCCATGGCCCTTTGGCAGGGTTAGGGGACAGAGACGCCCACTCAGAGGGAACACACAGCCGTGCCCTGAGGAAGCCTCAGGGATCTGGTGGAGGAGAAAAGACCCTCAAGGAAGACAAAGATGTGAAGACAGGGAGTTGATTCAGATCCTTGGGGCAGCTCAGTCATTCCCTAGGGCAACTTACCTCATCGCAACCAGCAGGCAGTTCCCCCAAACACAGCAGCTCAGCTCAAAAAAGGCTGAGATGTTAAGGCTTCCAACCTAGGGAAGTCCCCACATCCATGTCTTCCTCATACCTCCACCTCCATGTCCACCCCGGGCCATGCTAATATTAGGACAGGAGGATTCCAGAATGAATCGTGCCTGGCAGGGATCGGGACTCACAGGCCCGGCGGTGATGGAGAAAAGCGGGTCCTGCCTGGATGGGGAAAGCCGGCTCTGGGGCTGCCTGCCCAGGCTTCCCTGGGCTCCTCCACCCCCATCTCACACCCCACACAGGTCAGCTATCTGAAGCAGAAGGGACTGGGCGGGGCCATGGTCTGGACACTGGACATGGATGACTTTGCTGGCTTCTTCTGTAACCAGGGCCAATACCCCCTCATCAAGATGCTGTCATTGGAGCTGAGTGAGTAAGGGCCCAGGGACCAGGGGCAGAATTCAGGGCAGGGCATGAAGTCCCCTTCTCTGAACCTCAGGTCCTGCCTCCGTCTGAGGCTTTGTCCCAATACTGTGATTTCCCAAATTTCATGCCCCCACCCCACTCCCCGAGGAGCTAAGGAAGCTGTTGGAATGATTCTCTCTTCACACTCTTCTTCCCCTTTCTGATTGTTCCCATGCCTGCTCAGGGTGTGGGTAACCAGGGCTTCCCTCCCGAGGGCCCTCAGCTTGGCAGCAGCAGCTGGCCCCTCCCTTCTCAAGGAGAAAGCCTGCCCTGGGCCGCTAGCGTGAGACCCCACTGGCCCTCGCCATTGCTTGGCTGGGTTTTGCAGAAGGTGGATGGTCACTGACTGCCTCGTGCACGTGTAGCCCCGGTGCTTCCTGCTGAGCTGTGCTCGGGCTGTCGGTGTGGCTGGGGCCGGGCTGCCCTCTGCCCGGGTCCCTGACTGTGCCCTCCTGCAGGTGCGGGTGCTGGGCTGCTGCCTGTGTGCTTGGCCTGTGGGTTTGAGACCCCTGGGGGGAGACTTGGCTGCATCACTGATCGCTGTTTTCCCAGGTCTCTCACGTGTGCCTCTGGGCCCCCCAGAGCCTGAAGCTCCCGCACCAGGCCAGCCCTCTGAACCTGAGCATGACTCCAGCCTTGGACAAGATGCTTTCTGCCAGGGCAAAGCTGACGGGCTCTACCCCAACCCTCTGGACCGGTCCAGCTACTTCACTTGTTCAAGGGGGTGGCTGTTCCAGCAAAGCTGCCCGAGGAGCCTGGTGTTCAGCTCTTCTTGCAAATGCTGCACTTGGAGTTGAGTCTCCACGGCCCCTCCAGCCCATCACTCCCACGGCCCACCTTCCCAGCTGTCCCTGGTGGCTGCAATCTGGCTCCTTGCGTCTTTCCACAATCAAACTTTCTGTCTCAGCCTTGGGTTCCTTTTGTTCTGGTCTTTCTGGGCTGCCTATTTTTCTTGCAGAATAAATCTTTGGTTGGTACCACACTGCTCCTGGACGTAGTGACTTACAGAGAGGCTCTCTAAGCACACTATTAGTTCAAAAACTGCCCTGAGGAAGGTAGCGCTCCAAGAGGGGAGGGTGGCATAAGGCATGCCTAGGTCAGAACCAGGGGAGAAGGTGGTCCATCGCTGCACCAGCTCTCGCCTCGAGGACCCCACATTTCAGTGGGCACACAGCTGCACCTGGGGCATGGCCCTGGATCTGACACATTCTTCACTGGCTCAGAAGCCTTTGGAGAGAACTTCTCCTAGTGGCCTCCACTCAGGTGTTATCCCCAAAATGCACAACAGATGGTAGCAGAGAAGAGCTTTTCCCTGCCTCAGGGCCTCTGCTCACAGCCATTCCGCATTAAAAAGAGAAGCAAATGCTGACTACTATATGTAAAATAGATAAAAAACAGATTTCTTCTGTATAGCACAGGGAACTATATTCAATATCTCGTAATAACCTATAATGAAAAAGAGTATGAAAGCAAACATATGTATGTGTATGTATGACTGAAACACGAGGCTGTACGCCAGAAGTTGACAAGCGGTAACTGACTATCTTTAATGGAAGAAAGGGAGAGAATCCAAACCCCTGCTACTAAGCACCCATTTACCAGACGAGGCAGGGACAGTTATTATCCTCATTTCACAGGTATTTAAACTGAAGGCTAATTCTGACCCAGTTCCGAGACCAGAACCAAGGCCTCTGAATGGCTCATGATAGGCCAGAAGATGCACCCAGAGCATCCTGGACGAACAGAGAAACCCAAACAGTCCTGGAAGCTTTGGGTTGAATCTTGGTCATTCTATTTGAAGAAAACCTGCACGTAACCTAATGGTCCAGCCGAACATGCCCTCACCCCAGGCTGGTTTTGGGGGTGGGACGGGGGCAGGCAGCTGGGATGGGGACAGGTAGAGACAGAGAGGATGAGCTGGCCCTTCGCAGGAGTGCAGCCAGCTCCAGAGCCCTCTGACAGTGGCTCCCCACTTCTACACGCTGCCTGTGCTCAGGCCTTTGGAGATCTGCTCTTCAGTCCAGAACACAGGTCTCCTTCAGCCCCTGCTCCTTCCTTGGAGGTCTCAACCCACAGGAGCTTTCCGTCTGCTCAGAGTGGAGTCTAGGTTGGAAGTTTCCTTACGGTGGTGGCACTGGTAGGGTCGGTACCTGAGCCCCAGACAGGCTCAGAGCTGACTTCCGGCCCCACCACCTTCTAGCTGTGTGACTTTGGGCAAAGATGGAACCTCAGTCTCCTCATCTGTTAGATGGGGACGACCTCTTCCCATCAGGGTGGGTGAGGACTGGGTGAAGGACTGCACATTCGCTCCCACCTAATGTGACCAGCACACAGCCACCCTCCCTCCCCTCTTCTCAGTCCTTCTTTACCTTCTGTGGGCCAGATAAAACAAGAATTCAGCAAACAGTCTCCTTTTAGCAGGATGAGCTCTGCTACTGGCTTCCTAAGTACTAACTCTGTGCTGGCTTTATCTTCAGGGTGGGGTTGTCCCCGGCCCCTCCCTGGTCTGCACACCCCTGTCCCTCTTCAAACATGAGGTCCCTGCCTCAGCGGAGGCCAGTCTCTCTGCTTCCTGCACCTCCTTCATCCAGTCTAACCTCCACATTGTGAGCAGCTTGATCTTTGTAAATTAGGAGTCAAACTCTGTCATTTCCCACGCCTGAGAACTACCAACAGCTTCCTCCGGCCTAAAGATAAAGTCTCTGTCCTCAGCACAGATGCTCTGCCAGGCCCCAGTCCCCTCTACTGTTCTCACCTCCTGTCACCCCACCCCAGTTCGGTTGCCAGGCGCCCCAGCTATCGGCACTGGACACACCAGCTTCTCATGTGGGACCCCCAGATGTCTGCCATCACTCCTGCAAGGTTTGAGCCCCTGCCTGAAAGCAAATACTGCTTTTGGAACAAGACTATCTCCCTTTACCCACAGGCTGCCCCACTGTCCTCACACACTTGACTTTGCAAACCAGGTGATACCCCCTTGTATGGAGCAGGCCTTGGAAGTCAGGAGCAAACACTGCTTGAATTGTTAGAGTTTGCTTCACAAAGGAATTTTGGGGTCACTTATGCTTTGGTGGCTCAACCCACTGTCCCTATCAGCAACGACCACTCTCAGCCCCACGGAGGAGCGGTTCTTCTGGCCGTCTCTCTGAGCACACTCAGAGCACACACCACCACGTCTAAGACTCCTGCTGGAACACCAGGCGACTCCTCGGCTCCCACCCCTGCCCCAGGACCCAGCCCTCCTGGTGGGCCCACAGTCCTCTGCCCCCACACCAACCGCTTCCAAATCTGCTGCATCTTCCCTGGAGCCCCGGGAAGTGAAACTCGATTTTGTTTGTTTCAATTATGAAATCTACCACATGGAGAGAAGAGTGTTTAAAATTTGTATGTTTCAGTATCTCCCAGGAGCCCTTCACCCAGATCAGGAAACAGAACCTTACCAGCAGCTCTGAGGCTTCTCACGTGCTGCTTCGCCAACCCCACACCCTTCTAGCCAGGCTTTGCTTACTCATTCCTTCTTTTTTCTGGTAGTTTTACCAACCATGTGTACATTCCTAAACAAGGTATTATTTAGTCTAGGCCTGTTTTTGAGCCTTAAATGAATAGAAATATGCTGGGTGGGATCTTCTGTGACCCACCTCATATGTTTCACATAGCTGAACTCATTGCCGTGTGGTATTCTGTCACGTGACTGTACCCCAATTTGTAGTCTGCTCTCAGTAGGCATTTGGGTTGTTCCCAGTGTTTGGCTAATGTGGACAATCGTGTGTGAACACTCTTCAGCATGATGACTGTTGGTAAGTGTGCAGAATGTGTACAGGGGTGGACTTGATAGGATGGGGGGGCGCATGCAAGTTCAGTTTTATTAGGTGCAAAGTGGTGGTGCACGGTCTCCCTCCCATTGCAGAGTTATCATTGCACTCCATCCTCACCATTACTACACCCTACTTTATACCAATCCAAAAGGTGCAAAGTGGTGCGTTGTTATGATTTAAAGATGCATTTCTATAATTACTCATTATTTTAGCATCTTTTCCTATGTCATAAGCTATTTGTATTTGTTCTTTTTTTTTTTGTATGTATTTGTTCTTTTGTGACTAGAGTGTATGTCTCTTGCCCATTTTTCTGTTGGGTTGTTTGTCTCTTTCTGATTGAAATGTAGGAGTTTTTTTTATCTTCTGAACACAAATCCTTTGATAGTTACAAGTTTGGTTCTATTTTCTCCCATTTGAGGCTTGGCTTTTTATTTTTTTATGTGTTGTCTAATGTCAAATTTATCAATCTTATACCTTTTATGGTTTGTGCTTCCTGCTTCTTGGTTAACAAATCTTTCTGTAGTCTGAGGTTAAAAATGTATTTTCCCAAATCGTCGTCTAAAATTTGTATAGCTCTTTTTCTTTACCTCTTCAATCCTTCTGAAACTGACATTTGAGTCTGCTTTGAGGTAGGATTCAATTTTTTTCCCCATTTGGATAACCAGTTGTCCCAGTGTCATTTATTACATAATCTATCATTCGGATGCTAATGAACCAGGTTTCTATATATGCATGGGTATCTTTCTGTTCCTTGATCTATTTCTCCACCCCTGCCTCAGTAACTCACTGACTTAATTACTGAAGCTTCATGATGAATTCTGGTATATGGGAGGGCAAATCCTTCTACTATGCTCTTTGTTTCAGGAATGTCTTTTTTGTTTTTTTGAGTTATTGTCATTTTACAATGTTGTGTCAATTTCTGGTGTACAGCACAATATTTCAGTCATACATGAATATACATATATTCATTTTCATATTCTTTTTCACTGTGAGCTAATACAAGATCTTGAATACATTTCCCTGTGCTATACAGTATAAACTTGTTTATCTATTCTATATATATACCTGTCAGTATCTACAGATCTCGAACTCCCAGTCTGTCCCTTTCCACCCCCCTCCCCCCCGGCAATCACAAGTTTGTATTCTGTGTCTGTGAGTCTGTTTCTGTTTTATATTTAAGTTCATTTGTCTTCTTCTTCTTCTTTTTTTTTTTAGATTCCATATATGAGTGATATCATGTGGTATTTTTCTTCCTTTCTGGCTTACTTCACTTAGAATGACATTTTCCAGGGACATCCATGTTGCTGCAAATGGCGTTATGTTGTCATTTTATGGCCAAATAGTATTCCATTGTATAAATATACCACAACTTCTTTATCCAGTCATCTGTCAGTGGACACTTAGGTTGTTTCCATGTCTTGGCTATTGTAAATAGTGCTGCTATGAACATTGGGGTGCAAGTGTCTTTTTGAATTAGGGTTCCTTCTGGATATATGCCCAGGAGTGGGATTTCTGGGTCATATAGTAAGTCTATTTTTAGTCTTTGAGGAATCTCCATACTGTTTTCCACAATGACTGCACCAAACAACATTCCCATGAGCAATGTAGGAGGGTTCCCTTTTCTCCACAGCCTCTCTAGCATTTATCATTTGTGGACTTTTGAATGATGGCCATTCTGACTGATGTGAGGTGATACCTCCTTGTAGTTTTGATCTGCATTTGTCTAATAATTAGTGATACTGAGCGTTTTTTCATGTGCCTATTGGTCATTTGTATGTCTTCATTGGAGAAATGCTTGATTAAATCTTATGCCCATTTTTGGATTGGGTTGTTTGTTTTTTTCTTATTAAGTTGTATGAGCTGTTTATATATTCTGGAGACCAAGCCTTTATCAGTTTCAACTTTTGCAAATATTTTCTCCCATTCTGTAGGTTGTCGTTTTGTTTTACTTATGGTTTCCTTTGCTGTGCAGAAGCTTGTAAGTTTCATTAGGTCCCATTTGTTTATTCTTGCTTTTATTTCTATTGCTTGGGTAGACTGCCCTAGGTGAACATTGCTGAGATGTATGTGAGATAATGTTTTGCCTGTTTCAGGAATGTCTTGACTAT